ACCTCTGAGGTGCTGATATATATATATATATATATATATAAATATATATATATATATATATATATATATATATACAGTGTAGGAAAAATTTTATGGTCGGTATGGACCTTACGTGAGATGGAGTGAGAAACAGCTGTTTAAAAAGAGAGAGGTATATTAGGTACGCCCTTTATATCGCCGAATGGAAATATTAAAAAAGGGGAAATTCAACGTTGCCAAACTTATTGGTTTTATTTGACCTGTTGTCTTTTTTTGCATTTGAACAATGTTCTATCAAGAAGATAAAATGCTCAAGATAATCAAATTTGGGCGAAATTGATTTAAATGGCAGGTTACTGTTTTTTTTATTGGGAATATGCCACAAGTTTTCTTTACAATAATTGTAATATAACATTTTGATTTCCATTTCGGAAATCGTTTTATATAAATAAAATTTATTAATGTTTCGTATTTTAAGTACGATTTCCGAACTAAAAATCTAAACATCAAAATAATTTCCCAATATGAAATAATAAACAATTAAACATGCATACAATAACGCCAAATTAAAAAATATTCATACACTAATTTATTTGGCAACGTCTAGTCTAGATAGTCGTCTGGTCAAAAGATCGTGTAACGAGAAGTAGAGGTGGGTCGTGCTAGTTTATCGTTAAGAGCGTAGGTGCAAAATTTCGGGGCAATGTTTTTTAAATGCATTCATTTTTTTCGAATCCTGAGAAAACTAATAAATATTTTTGAAAAAATTAAACGCAGAATGAAACAATACATTATTACCGAGAGCTGAAAGTCCCTGAAAACTTCTATAATGTTTATTTTAATAAGTTATAGGGATGAAAAAAAAAAACAAAATTTAGTGTGATTTTTAATTTCAAATATCTCATTAAAAAAACTTTTTGTTTATTCTAAGGGACCTTCGGCCCTCGGTAATAATGTAATCTTTCATTCTGCATTTAAATTTTTCAAAAATATTTGTTAGTTTTCTCAGGATTCCAAACAAATTTAAATTTTTTTGAATGCTAAAAAGCATTTAAAAATTTTAATTTTCATAAACAAGTAACTATGATTGTTTAAAAGTAGTTTCAAGTAAGATAGTACCTACATAAACAAACATAACGGCTATTATCGTTTATGTGTATAATATCTTTTGAAGTGAAAGAAACAACCTAATGATATATTTATTATAACTTGAAAAATAAACTAAACAATCATCATCATCATATAACGGGGGTCCTACGGCGATTGCCGCTTCCCGCATTTCAGCCTCCATCTTTTCCTATCTCCCCAATCTCCCTCTTCTAAGCCTCTAGATTGCATTGTTTTTGTAATTTCTCTTCTCCAGGAATTTGGTGGTCTTCCCCTTTTCCTTCTTTCTGGCGGAACATACATTAAGGCTTTCTTTGGCCACCGCTCCTCCTCCATTCTCATCACGTGACCATACCATTGTAATTGCCTTCCTTGTATTCTATCTGAAAGAGTATCTCTAATTCCTGTACGGTTTCGTATTTCCTCATTCCTGATTCTTTCCATTCTCGATACTCGACATGACCTTCTAAGATAATCCATTTCCACAACGTCTACTTTATCTCGTTCATTCTTTGTCATCGTCCAACATTCGGCACCATATGTGGTAATTGGTTCTACAATTGCTCTGTATACGCGAAGTTTGGTATGCATCTTTATTTTATTAGACCACAGTAATGAATTCAGTATTCGGATGCATTTTTTCCCTTGGGTTATTCGGTTTTGTACATCTATCTTAACTCTGCCATCTGCTGATATGATGCTTCCTAGATATTTATACTGGTTGCAGCCTTTTATGACTGCGTTTTCAAGCCTCAGATCTGTGGTATTTCCTCCAATTTTTAAATATTCTGTTTTAAATATTCTGTTCTAAACTAAACAATACAAATAGTAAATCGGACTTACATTTACATTACACGTTATTATTAAATCGCGAATAGTCTAAATTGACATAAAAACTATTGTCCTGTGTTAAATATTGTCCTGTTAATGCGAAGTAACTCTCAGTTACTCCAGATGTCCAGAGGTCAGTAGTAATACAGATATTTTCTACTTCTTTAACAACTTGCGATCTAATAATTTGCTCACTTTTGACATAACATTCCTGAAGTAATGAACCTGACAAAGTTTTTCTTGTTGGCGGTTTATATCCAGGAATCCACCCTGCAAACTTTTTAAAAGCTGGTTCTTTAACTATGGAAAACGGATGAAACGAAAAGTTTAGTAAATCTTGAAAATCAATCAGTCCAAGAAAAAGAAACTGATAAAGATGACTTAAGTCCATGGTGTATTTTTGATGAATTAATTGGACATGACTCATCTAAACATACACCTGTATCGAGAGGTATAAAAGAAGTCGACATGTAATTGTCTGATGATATATTACCCACAAACAATTTCGAACGGAGATTGGAACTGTCCATTACCGTGGTGAAAAAACCATCGCCATGTATATCGTAACTTAACCACTATATTCATAAAATGTTGTAGTATTGTAACAAAATCTTTTCCTTGTGAACACATGTTTAACATCTGGTATAATTTTAAATAAAAGAAGAACGCGATTAACAAGAAAAGTGGAAAAACTTATGTTTTTAAATGTCAATTTAGACGATTCGCGATTTAATAATGTGTAATGTAAATGTAACTATTTAAGTACCATTTGTATTATTTAATTTATTTTTCAAGTTACAATAAATATATCCTTCGTTAGGTTCTTTTATTTCAATACTTATACACATAAACGATAATAGCTAATATGTTTGTGTACTCGCTAATTTGAATACTGGTAAACAATCAACTAGTTACAGTTTACGAAAAACTGTTCCGATAAAAATTAAAAAAACGAGAAGACCCACCTCTAGTTTTTTAGGTATATTAGGATCGGAACCAGAGAATATCTGATCGGAACTAATCGTCTCACTAATGGGCAATGGCCAATGAGTGTTAAAAGGATTTTAGGAGGGGAGACGAAGGGGAAATATGATTGTTATCTTTGTCTAATTCATTGAAAATATGATTTTATATCTGCGTTAGATATCCTGTTAAATTTTACCATACCGACCTTAAAATTTTACCTACACTGTATATAATTAAAAGCATTAAAATTGTACCTATAAATATTATAAAATAAAATTATATCTTGCATTTCTACATTTAAAAATACTTATATAATAAAAACCATTAAAATGATGCTTAAGGTAAAAATTAATAGTTTAGAAACTTTAAAAACTACAGAAAAAAAGTAAAGTTAAATGAAAAAAAATTAGGTTAAACAAAACAATACACTAAATATTTAGCTATATTTAAAGTAAAAAATACTATTTTATGAATGCTTTTTAATATGAATTCAAAAATTATGGCTTCTCATAACAAAACATTATATAAAAATTAATGGGAAAATCCCAGTTGTTTGGCTCTATACCATCGTTTAAAAAACTTATAACAATTCACATTTACCTAAGTATATACCTAAATACAAATGTGAAGCATTTTACTTCTGTATAAGTTTTTTAAAACATTATATATAATTTCGTCAAAGTATCTTTCTATTTTAAACACTCCTATACTTTATACCAAAAAATGTCGCAACACTATGACATACAAACATATAGTTGGATGCCAAGGTTATGTTCATTGCACCCAAATTAGTGATGTGCAAATCAGGATTTAATGAGCCGAACCTTCAGAAAGATCCAACTGACCCGAATCTCAAAATTAAATCTAACAGATCACGGATCAGTAACAAACTCATATGATGCGCAAAATGATGTAGTTCTAAGAGAAAGCGAGGAATCAATGAGTCAGTCGAACACTGAATCCCAAGCTCTTATAAACAGAACTAAATCTTTTCAGATAATTTGCAGTCTTGCTGGTTTGAAAGGAACGTGAATTGTGAACTGTTTACTGATAATTATAAGGTGTAAAATACTAATTAAAAACTATATAAAATAAATGGTTGAGTTTACCAAAATTCAAAAAATATGTATATATTTGTTGGCTTTCCATGTTATTATTTTGGTTATATTTTTTTTGTATTTCTTGTATTTTTGGTCACAATGGTATTTGTTTGGAGAAAGTAACATTTATGGTATTCCCCGAAATATTTTATGGCATGGCGTATTATTGATTGCCTAATAATAATAATTTAGTGAAAGAAATAAAAGATCTTTTGTACTTTATACATTAAAGAGACCTTAGATAGGTATGCTTAAATTAGTATGCTTAAAGAAACGTTTAGTTGATGATTTACTTAAAAAATTAAATTTGAATTTTAAGTTTAGTTAGGTAAAATTTAATAGATCAAAGTAAATTTTTGGTTTCCATAACATTTACTTGTAAGACTGAATAACAACTACATAATAACATAATACTCTTACACTCGATTATCCACCCACCACCTACTGTTAAAATTATAGATTTGGTTTGAATAATGATCTATACTGACCCGTGACCTGACAAAGTGATCCGGTTCTCTTAAGTGAACCAGAACCGGTGACCTGAATCTCAAAGATGACCCGAAATTCCCGTCACTAACCCAAATTCAAGTTAACCAAAAATTGCAAGAAACCAGTAATTTTTTGTTAATAAAAGTAGGTAAGAATAAAATGTAACCAAACCTAACATCATCAAATCTAGCTTACCTAAACCTACCAAAAAAGCAGAAATATTTTTTTGTTAATATGTAGTTAAGAAAAAATATTTAGTATAACTATGACAATACTGGTTAGAATTGCCCTTCTGGAGCATATCAAAGGGTTAACAATGGTTTCATGGTGTCATTTCTTTTTCCTGTTGTTTCATGATATGCAATGGTCAAGGCTTTTAAAAATAAGACATTATTTTAAATGGAAATAACATAAAAAAGAAGGTCTCAATAAAAATCACTGTAAAATCATTAATAAGTTAAGCAGAATTCATTGCTGTAAATTTCATATCTGTACAGATCCTAATCTCTTACTACACTTGGGTAATTACTAACCTTTTTCAGTTTTTTGGTTTTCTTCAAATGGGATAAGTTTATTCCCATGTTGTTCTATTTCAGTATTTATAGGACATTCCTTTAATTCTAAATAATCATATCTCTCATGTGTATTTTGACTACTGCATTCCTCCTGAATTTCATATTTAAAGCCATCCAAAAGAGCATTATCCGGGTGATTATACTCTACTTCTATTTTACACGTTTCATCGATAATTTCTTGTTTTACTTCCATTTGATTTTATGTATTTCAATAATAATTTTACATTCAAAATGTGAAACCACTAAAACACAGTGATATAAATACTAAATAATAGAATATGTAGTAGAAATAGATAGGCAACTCAATGTATAAATTTCGTTCATTAGGACCCCTTGCGGCTGGGGTCAATACTAATCATCTTTTGGCGGCAAATTCGAATGAACACCCCTTACATACGTTTTGGTCTATAGCATTTTTCAGATAAAAAAGCTTGCACGTCATTCAAGATTTACGTCTTCAGAACCCCACAGCGTTGCCAAAACATCAGAATAGTTAGTAAGCAAGGAATTTTTAAAATGTCAACTATTTGTCAAACTATTATATTAACAGTAAATACACTTAGTTTTAAGACTACTGCAACACATTAAAATACATAAGAAACCATTTTAATACAAGATTATATATTCTAAATTTTAAACTTACCTCTTTTAGGGCTTTAATAACAAAAACGTCCCGCCATTATTTCTTGTTCAAAATAGTAATCTTATATGAAAGCTTATCAGCTTTCTACAGACTATTTATTTGTTTTGGCATATCACACTCACAATATACAATAATAATTAGTTTTTAAAGCTATTAATCTAAATTTAAAATGCATTTATAAATACAATTTATTATTATAATATATATTATAATATATTTATTATTATATTATTATAATATATTTTATATATTATATTATGATAAAATTGTGTAAGACGTCAAAACATAAACAAAATTTGTACTCTAGAAAAGCGGCAACCACAGATCACCTACCTCCATCGAGCAATAAGACAAAAGAGGGAATGTAAAGGTAGAAGGGGTAAACATATTGATAGACAGGAAGTGCCATCTTGAGAGGCCACTTTAGACAAGGAAAGACAGTCTCTTTCCTTGTTTAAGAAGTCAAATTTAGTTTGGTTATGTTATTGTTTGTCCCAACTGTCACATGAAATTTTATTTATATTAAGTTTTTTACCAATTATGTCACTTTTTAGACTATTATCGTTGATATTTAATTAAAACTTTCTTGTCTGAAAAATATTTTACAGGTATTGTTAACAAGTGTTGGAAAATTTAAATTTAGCGCCTTTGCATTTCCGGATGTGTCCGCCATCAGAGGCCACTTTTTTGGTCTCTTTTTTATAACGATTAGATTCCCTCTTTTGTCTTATTGCTCGATGCCTACCTCCCTAGATGTTCCACGACAATACTTTAGTTGGATATGAAATTCAGCGCTCCATAAGATTAGTATCGGAACTAATTCAAGCGAGAAATTACGCGGGAAATTCAAATTTTAATTTTGGTGGGAAAATTTAAATAAAGTTTAAAATTTTTAAATATAATTTGGTATATTTGAAAAAAAAATGCATGACATTTTTAATTTCAAATATACACAATACAATTTAGGAAAAATAAAACAAAATGTAATTTATTTATTTATTTAATACTTGTAAAACAACTTTGTAATTTAATATAGAATAAAAATATGCTATTATCACTGAAAATTGTACAATTTTATGGAAAAAGCTTACAAAAAAGTCAGAAAAATAGCAATTTAAAATTTACTGAAATTACATAAATCGTCAATATCACAAAATAAAAAATAATAAAATACACAATGTATTGCAAAATTTAAATAAATTGCATAATAAATCCTTACGAAACTAATACATTTTAATACAAGTTTCTGCATGTGATACTCAAATATATATTTATACAAATTGTTTAGTTACTTGTACAAAACACTATTCGTACAAAACAACTCTTCTACTGAATAATATGATCTTTCAGATAGATAGGATTTTGTTCTTTTACGGAACTCAAGGAAAGAAGTTGCAGATTTAAGTTCATCAATCAGTTATTTGTTCTCTAATATCAAATATTTATTGGACTCACCATACAAATGTAAGCTAGGAATTGCATTTTTATACAATTTATGACTCCATGAAGAAACAAACTTATCTTCAAAGTGTCTGGCAGATTCGTTTTGTTTTATAAACTGTACTAGCATTCATCATATCTAAATTAGGATTATTTATTATTAGTGGTCTGTGGCGGCAACACTTAATACACTTTTACCATCCGCTCAACTGTCAATATTATTTGATATATTTCCGTATCAGTTGCGTACAATTGTCTAATATATTTAATTAAAAATATTATTTTGTGGAATATTAGACTTCAAGAGTTATTTCATAAAATTTATATTATTAATAATAATAAATGTTTATGGTTATTTAATCAATATAATTCCAAAATTTCCAATATAATGATGATTATATTTTTCTGATTATTACACTATGTTGACGCCTATGAAAGATCGAGCAATTCCGTATGGGTTTCGTATTATTACCTGTGTTAGGAAAATTTGAACTATAAGGTTGATGTTCTGGAAATTTTAAATACAAGTGACGTCACTTTTTATAAATCGTGACGTGCAAGTGTTTTACTTTGAAAAATGGTATATGCATACCATCGAGCAATAAGACAAAAGAGGGAATCTAATCGTTATGAAAAGGAGACCAAAAAAGTGGCCTCTGATGGCGGACATATCCGGAAATATATGGCGCCAAATATTTCATGACACTTGACAATAATAATACAGTGGTGTAGGGGTTCTAATTTATCTATTTATTTATTTTATATTACATAATATTTTATATTATATATTTATTTATTAAAATTATTTATCAAAATACTTTTTTAACACTAGAACACAATAAAGTTTTAATTAATTAATAACGATAATAGTCTAAAATGTTAAGCAATTGTTAAAAAACTTCAATAGAAAATATAAATAAGCTTTCATGTGACAGTTTTGACAAACAATAACATCAACAATAACATAACCAAACTAAATTTGATTTCTTAAACAAGGAAAGAGATTCTCTTTCTTCTGGAGCTATGAGATCTACCCCTATTGAACCACTTTATGTTGAGACAATCGAACCGCCCAGTAAATTTAGAAGAGAATATCTCAGTCAAAAATTTCTTCTTAAAGTTTGTTGCTACAACACTTGTTTACATAAAGATATTAGTATTTTAAATTATTTCGACTTAACAAATAAATATTGGACTCCCAAGAATTCTCCACCGCTATGCGAAGCATTTCGAAATACTGCAAATAAAGATACTGAACTTATAGTTGCAAACAAAGTAGTACATTTTAAAGATTTCTTTGAGTTACTGGATCAAGTACATATAATACAACCTATTTATCATGAGAACCCTTTAATAAGTCGTATTGTTTTAAACAACTATCTGACAAATTGGCCAAAATCCGTTTGTATTTATACAGACGCATCTAAAAGTTCAAAGGGTACTGGTTGTGCCTTTTATATTCCAGATAAATTTATAGGAAAAATGTTTAAGCTGTCCACAAATTTCTCTATTTTTAGTGCTGAGGCTGTGGCCATATATGAGGCTTTAAAGTATTTTAAATTGGCATCGTATAGTTCAGCAGTAATTTCATTATCTGTACTTACAGCTATTCAAAAACCGCAACTACCCTGTAGTACTTCTAATCCATACATTTTTTTCAGTCAGATTAAAAGTGATTTAAACCACATATTTTTTGAATGTCAAAAGTATAAACAACCCACCAACAACCTAATTAAAAGAATGATAGACAAGAACATCTATGTTCCTGTTAATATTCTCTTTCTACTATCTCTCAATGAGAAGAAAATGTATAACTGCTTGATAACCTTTTTGTTTGATAGTAAAGTATGCCTGTAATTAGTAAGATTTGTAACCTGTGTTTAGAAAAAATTCATGCAAAAAATACTTAAAAAATAGATTTAAAAAGAAAAAAATATATATAAATTAAAAAAAAAGAAAAAAGATGATTATAAAAATACATTAAAAAAAAAGAACAAAATAAGAAAAAAAAAATAAATAAATAAAAATATACAAAAAGAATCACTAAGAGGATCTAAACCTCTGAGATGTTGAATCGGGTTTATGTCCTAACGTAGTGAAAAAAAAAATGTATTACCATAGTTGTAGTTATTAACATACTAGGTAGATATCTTTATTTTTATTTTATTTGTAAGATGTATACACTATGAATTTCTGATGGCGTCTCTCAATAACTAAATTATAATAAAGGTATGATATAGTATTTATTAACATAGTATGTACATTAGCTTAGCTGTTATTATTATTATATAAATCATGTTTCACTAATTGACATATTTAAATTCTTTAAAAAAAACTTATGTTGATGGAGACTGGCTGAATGACAATTGTCCAAGCCAAGGAGAAAAAAAAATCTTTTTTGAAATACCATTTAAGCTAAGAAATGCTTTTTGACAAACACGTACCCTCAGGTTATCAACAAGAACAAAATGGAAATAGGTACATGATTTTTTCATTATTTCATTTTCAGTAGTCTTTTTTCTCCTTCTACCAACACTACGTTTTTCTATAAGTCCTTGTAGATATAAATCCTGCTCATCTTTTGTATTTAGTCTGTAAAATTTGTCAAATATTTCATTTCTGTCGTCCTCTTTTATTTTAGTGAAACATTTTAAGGGACATCTAAAAAAAAGTAACCATGTATATAGGAAGTTAAATTGATATAAAAAAATGAACCTACTTGCATGCTAATCCAATTTTCTTGTTCGGGACTGTTTTTCCTTTGTAACTAACATATGAAATACCTTTTATTCTGCTCTGCTTTATAACATTTCTCTTATATTCGTCGTCATGTCTGACACCTCTCTTCCTGTGTTTAACTTTGGTTTGTTCACTATTTAACTGTTCTTCCATTTTTATATGTTGTTCTTAACAACAACAATAGAACTTATCACAACAAAGTACACAATGCAAATGGCACCTCGACCTCGACTACTCGGCGAGAGCCGTTAAACCACGTGAGATTTACTCCGTACGATGTTGAAAGGGGGCTAGCGACATCGCTTGCCTCCTTTCTACACTAAATGCAGTTTCGAAGTACAAATTATATCCGTGTAATGCATAGCAGCTTGCTTCTTTTCAACACCAAATGATGCGGATATAGCAAGAGAGAAGGATTTTTATTACAACTCGGAACTGTAAAAAATGGCGCTTACTCCCTTTCAACAATAATCGATTCATGTATATTGAAAAAAAAATTTCAATTTGTAGAGATAAAACACACAATTTTATTGAAATAATAGAGATTCAATAACATTGACAATATATTAACATTAGTTGTTTTCGCAGATTATTTGTCATACATTTTTCGATTTCCAGCAGTTACTTCCTACTGTCAAAATATTTAATGACACTAATTTTAACATATTTTGATGATTCTTATGGCACCGAACAACCCGAAGGTGCACTCGACGGTAATTGTTCGTGCATGTCAGCGGCCATATTTTAACTTAACAAGTACGTCGTTGGACGAAGGAGCGATTAATTACAGGGACCCGATCCGTCAACTGCGCACGTGCGAGACGACTGCGTTCGAAATATTTCGAACCTTCAAATGAAAATGTTAAGCGGTAATAGCGGTATCTTGACCTGTCGAATAAAAATTGTTTTAAATAAGTAAGTTGTAAAATAAATAAGTTGTAATAAATTGTTTTGCGTAAGTTGTAAATATGTCAGTGAACTGTTTTGAATGTGGTAAAATTTTCTCAAATCAGTTTTTAACTTAAATAAACATATAAAAAATATACATGGTAAACTTTCTACGCCGATGTAATATGCGGAAAATGTGCATTTAATAAGTGTCTGGCATATTTCCAGTAGCTTTTTTTTTCAAACCGAAAGGACTCATATATTAATGAACTTTATTTTACAGTAATTATGAAAGTTGTTGGAAAAATACAAACACTCTGTTTTATGTCCGACATTACTTCAGTTTTTTTATGGAAGAGAATTGAAGAATTAAGCTATTTTAAACACGTTTTAGAACGAGACAACTTTTGAAAACAGCCATCTGAAGAAAACGATTTATGCCAACCCATACAAGATTTACCAGAATGTTATTTAAATTTAGTTCATTAATAATTTCTTTACTTTCAATAACAATAAATCAATTTAAGTTTATAATAATACTTATATAATAATTTATTATAATCCCTATTTTCACTCATAATAGTATATTACATAACGAGAGTTGTAAGAAGCTTATTACATGCGAGTAAAAAAGTTGCGCGCGAGCCGTGTAGCGGCGAGCGCAGTAATTTTACAAGCATGTAATAAGCTTACAACTCAAGATGTGTACTATACTTTTTCTACCATTATTTTTGTTTATAAAAATAAAAATTAAATTACCACTATATTTACACTGACAGATTAATAATTTTTAACCTGTCAAAACAACGCCTGTTAATTCGTTTCCATGGTAACTCGACCAACTGACTTACAAGGCGTATGTGATATTACACATTTTTATAGAACTGAAGCGTAATTTTTTTTATTACGTGCTAGTCATTACGTGTCAGTATCTGTTATGATGCATTTACTTAGCATCCAAATAGTAGGTAATATACAATTTACTAGTAAGAGAGTAGAAAAATGTGTATTACGTTAAATATTTTAAATTATCTGGTAAGTTAACAATCTCCATATGCTACTACAACAAAATAACAATGTTGGACCGTTAATATCAAAGTCGTCAATATACATTAGATTAATGTGATTTTCTTTCTTATTATTGAGAGTTCAAGTTATTTATTCTCTATATTTTAGTTATGAATGTAACAACTATGTACCTGTAGTAATAACTATTTTAAAATTTCCGATTTGTATGCCTAAATAGTTTTTATAAATTTGCTCAGATTTTTTTAGTTTGGAGATGTCACTTTTGATGTCATTTCAAAGATTGCACATGCGCAGTTGACGGATCGGGTCCCTGTAATTAATCGCTCCTGTTGGACGATCATTTTGTGTTTGTTGTTGACAGATCACATTATTTGTTTCGCTAATAATTTGATGTTGTGCAATCGTAAGCACTGTAATTGTATACTAAAAAAATGGCGCAAGGTCACCGAATTTGTCTGACAGCTATCAATGTAAATTTATCGGAGTGCACCTTCGGGTTTTTCGATGCTTATGACATTAATAGGTTATATGGGTTGACTATTATATTATTTATCTATGTATGGGTTGTACAAACAATATTAATTATGTTTTGTGATTGTTGAGGTTTTTTCCAGTGTGTGTCAATATATTTTTTTAATATTTACTTGAGAAAACTATTTTCCCCCAGTGTGCACTCTAAAATGACTTTTCAAATGAGTTTTCTGAGAAAACTGCTTAAAACAAATTTTACACTTCTAAGGTTTTTCCCCAGTGTGCACTCTCAAATGTATTTTCAAATAATCTGATCGAATAAATTGCTTCAAACAAATTTCACACTTGTAAGGTTTTTCCCCAGTGTGCACTCTAAAATGACTTTTCAAATGACTTTTCTGAGAAAACTGCTTAAGACAAATTTCACACTTGTAAGGTTTTTCCCCAGTGTGCACTCTCAAATGTCCTTTCATATAATCTGCTCTAGTAAACTGCTTAAAACAAAGTTCACACTTGTAAGGTTTTTCCCCAGTGTGCACTCTCAAATGTTCTTTCATATAATCTGCTGTAGTAAACTGCTTCAAACAAATTTCACACTTGTAAGGTTTTTCCCCAGTGTGCACTCTCAAATGATTTTCCAAAATACCTTTTCGAGAAAACTGCTTCAAACAAATTTCACACTTGTAAGGTTTTTCTCCAGTGTGCGTTCTCAAATGTATTTTCAAATAATCTGATCGATTAAATTGCTTCAAACAAATTTCACACTTATAAGGATTTTCTCCAGTGTGCACTCTAAAATGTTTTTTCACCTGACCTGCTGTAGTAAACTGTTTAAAACAAATTTCACACTTGTAAGCTTTTTTCCCAGTGTGCATTCTCAAATGTATTTTCAAATAATCTGATCGAATAAATTGCTTCAAACAAATTTCACACTTGTAAGGTTTTTCCCCAGTGTGCACTCTAAAATGACTTTTCAAATGACTTTTCTGAGAAAACTGCTTAAGACAAATTTCACACTTGTAAGGTTTTTCCCCAGTGTGCACTCTCAAATGTTCTTTCATATAATCTGATCTAGTAAACTGCTTAAAACAAATTTCACACTTGTAAGCTTTTTTCCCAGTGTGCATTCTCAAATGTATTTTCAAATAATCGGATCGAATAAATTGCTTCAAACAAATTTCACACTTGTAAGGTTTGTCTCCAGTGTGAATTTTCATGTGATCAGTTAAAGTACCTTTTCGATCAAACTGATTAAAACAAATCTCACATTTGTAAGTTCTTTTTCTAGTCACCACTTTGCTTCTTTTATTTAATGTTTTTCCTTCAGCATGATTCATATAATTTCCTTCGTGAGATGAATGTTCAATTAGTGTCTCCACAATTTCCATTTTGTTCTCTTGGAGATAATCTAAAAATAAAACTGACTGTAATATAAATATTGTGTACAAGAAAATAAGTGTAAGAAAATAAATGAAAAAACAAAGAAATGTTATCATCAAATTAAAGGTTATTAAAATGCAGGATAGCTGAAGTGTACTCAAGGATACAATTATGTTTGAGAAACCTGCGTGTATGTCTTCTATTATGCATAATAGTCAGCCTTCTTGTCTTTAGTAATAGTGTCACTTCCATTAAATATAAGCATATGAACATGAACATGAAAAAACCAACAATATTGTGTCGTAAAGACGGTGGTACTTCAGAATATATTCCATCGAAGTCAGCTGCTTTTCCAGTTTTGGTTTGGTTAAGTGCTTTGTTTATTTCATCCAATGCGAAGGCACGTGAGTATTCTGATGTTGCTGCAGTATTTGCTTTAAGTTGTTTAAGAGCTGTTCTTTTGGCAGATGTATGTTTCCTCAGATGGAGCTCGGGAGTTTTTAATTAATCTGTTGGCTATCTTATTTGGCTTATTTGTTGATTAGTTCGACTATTGTGCTCTACTTGCTTCGCCCAATTTGCGAATCAATCCCAATGCCTTCCGATTGGAACGGCAGAAATCAATATGCTTTACGGTAAACTTCCATTTATTAAGTCAGTCGACTCCATTGACTTCAGTAAGTTATCTCTATACCATATTCATTTAACAGAAAAGTAGAGATCAACAGAACACGCGAAACCTGATGTTTATATAATTGTACAGGGTTGTATTAAGCTTCTAGCAGTCTATAACATCTGAATTTGAAATGAATTAATTTATAATTGTTAGGATTACTGTTAAAATAATAGTAATCAATGATTAATCTTCCAAAGAAGTATATTAGTTTTTATAAACTATCATTCACACATCATTAGTTAATTGTGGTATTAATCAAAAGGCAAAAAATAGAAAGTTTTTTTTTATACATTTTACGCTTTAAGACCAAAACCATTTTACGCTTTGGAAATAAGTAATAATATTATCATTAATGATATACAAAGAGACCTCTTCTTGTGTAAAAGTTAGAAAAATACTTATACATATATTATTGGGTAAATAGAATTTACATTAACATTAATAAATAAAATTTATTAAGTCGACGCGACGTTTCGACTTAAACCACATATTTTTTGAATGTCAAAAGTATAAACAACCCACCAACAACCTAATTAAAAGAACGATAGACAAGAACATCCCTCTTCCTGTTAACATTCTCTTTCTACTATCTCTCAATGAGAAGAAAATGTATAACTGCTTGATAACCTTTTTGTTTGATAGTAAAGTATGCCTGTAATTAGTAAGATTTGTAACCTATGTTTAGAAAAAATTCATGAAAAAAATAATA